TCTAGCTATATAGATGTGTATAATTATTATGTACATACGAAAATTTGATTTGTATATTGAAAAATAATACATATAATATAAATAGCAAAGTAAAGATAAGGGTAAAGTGCATTTATGTAATTGTAAGCTTTTTGAGGTTAAGAAGAAAAATAATTGCACGACATTAATTGACTGCAAGGGTAAAAAAGAAAAGCAGAAACATTTGCTGCAAAAATCAGGTGAACACAGAATTATTAATTTATATACTTTAAAACAACTAAACAAAGTACTACAATAATATCAATGTGTGAAAACTGAAAACTTCAAAGTTGCCTCAATTTTGAATTTCTACCTTTTGTCTCATTATTGGAATCCAGTTTTTAATAACTTTAATTTATTATTCTGCCTTCTTGATCAAACAAACTTTGTTAGTCCATGTTTTTTTGTAACGGTAATACATAGAATAGAATAGTAACACTATATATATATATATATACACACACACACACACACACACACACACACATGCAAACCAGATGAAATAAAAGGGTAGGAAGAAATTCCTTAGGCATGTAATTTGAATAAAAAGAATTTATTTTTAAGTTAAAATTTTGGATTTTATATATATCTATATATATGATTGAATTATTTTTTTTTTCTTTTCTTTGAATGTAAGTGTCATATAATTATTGAAATGTATGAATTGGAATTGTAGTTATTAGTGCTTTAAAGTAATTATATAAAGTGTTTTCATTTGAGTGTAAAAATAAATTTTAGTATTTAAAGTATAAATTTTTATTTTAAATATTCTTTATTTTAACTATTTAATTATAAAATAATTTTAAAAGGTGAAAATTGAATAGCAAAATTTGGTGCAAACCATGTGTTAATTAAAGAATATTACAGCTCATTTGTCCTTTGAAGAATTTCTCAGCAACAGGGTTCCAATGTTGCAAATGACAGACAAAAGCTAGATTGCATAGCGTCATGTGAGACTTTGCTGGGCAATAATAAAAACCCAATAAGTAATTAATTAAACGTCTTCTTTTTTTTTTTTTTTTTTCTATTTTCCCCTCTCTGATCTCTGAGTTCGGGATCAGAGCTAACCCTAAACCCAAAGTCAAAATACGTTTTATCCATGCACAGTCGCCCTGCAATCACATCTTCTCCTTCTCTCTCCACATAATAAATTAAAAGAATCCAAAGTGCAATTTTTTTTTTTTTACTCTTTAACTCTCTTTTTTCATGCCCTGTCCTTCTCATTTCCCATTCTCTCTCCTTCCTTTTCACCTTCTTCTCCTTCCCTTCCTTCCTACAATATTTGCAGTTGCAGACTTGCAGTAATAGCCGATTTAATACACAGCAGACCCTACTGGGTCGCAGTCGCATACCCTTTTTTGTTTTCTGCTCAGAGATTTCAAGACAGAACACATAAGAGAATATTGTAGAAGAGGAAGAGGAAGAAGAAGAAGAAGAAGATGGATGTTCATGTTCGTTCCAGAAGGTCGGCCAGGGAGACAAGCCCAGATAGAGTGAAAGTCTGCATGACGGTCCAACAACAACAACAGAACCCGAAGCCATTAAAGGTCGTCAAGCCTATTAGAAGATCAGTTCAGGTTGTTTACTATCTCACCAGAAATGGTCACCTTGAGCACCCTCATTACATGGAAATCAACCTCTTACCCAATAACCCACTTCGTTTAAGAGGTAATACTACTTAATTATGTAACATCATCTTTTCTCTCTGTTTTCTTTTCTTAGTCATTTAAAGATTGTTATGAACAGATTTCATGGACAGACTCACTGTTCTCAGAGGCAAAGGCATGCCGTCTCTCTATTCTTGGTCCTGCAAACGGTATATATACATATATATATATGTGTAATTTCTATTATTACATTCTTATTATTTGATTAAGTGGGTTTGTTGTCAACTCTCAGGAGCTACAAAAATGGTTATGTGTGGAA